TTTATTGCGATTTATAAATGAACTATATAAAACACGGCGGATTATACAAGTATTATAATGAATTAAGTATTAAATATTATCACTTCAAACCTTCCTAACCGTTAAATTATTCTTCATCTACCGAAGAGACCTCTAACGAACTCCGAGGTAGAAAAAATTATAATACTTATATAATACTATTAAGAGTGGACAGGAATGTGTTATGGCAAACACTGAACTCATATGGGTTGAGCGCTGGTTTGATACAGGCATTAAGGTCTCTTTATAGGAACTCTAGTGCTTGTGTCAGGATCAATGGGGTCTACTCGGACTGGTTTGGCATCCAAAAAGGTGTCAGACAGGGCTGTGTAGCTTCCCCTTGGCTGTTCAACCTATTTATGGACAGGTGTTTGCAAACTTTGAAAGATGAAGAATGTGGGTTAAGAATGGGAGAGTTAACCGTCAAATGCCTTCTGTATGCCGATGATCAAGTCATATTTGCGTCATCGGTGGCTGAGTTGCAAATGATGGTTACATTAATGAACTGAGAATTAAAAGAAAGGGGAATGAAAGTGATCGCAAGTAAGACGAAAGTGATGGTTTTTGAAAGAGAAGAAAGCAAAACAGTATGTGAAATAAGTAATAGAAGGAGAGTTAATTGAGCAAGTGGATGAGTTTGTGTATTTAGAATGTGTATTTAGCAGGGATGGTAGATATGATAGGGATATAGAACGACGAGTAAATGCAGGGAATAGAGTGAATGGGGCACTACACTCTATTGTGAAGAACCAGAATGTGTCAAAAAAGGCACGTATGGTAATTCACAATGCTGTGTTAGTCCCTACTTTAATGTATGGTAGTGAAAGCTGGGTGTGGCAGAAGAAGCACGAAAGTAGAATAAATGCTGTAGAAATGCGGTCTTTAAGGAATATACTAGGGTTGAATTTGAATGACAGGGTGAGAAATTGCGTGATAAGAGATAAATGTGGTATGCAAGATGATGTTGTGACCAGGATTAAGAAAGGAATGCTTCGGTGGTTTGGTCATGCAGAAAGAATGAATGAGGAAAGAGTGACAAAGCAAATTTATATGGCAGATGTGAACGGCAGAGTCGGGAAGGGACGCTCTAGAAAAAAGTTTATCGACCAAATTGGCGATATTTTGAAAATGGGCCACGTTAGAAGTACCCTAAACCGACGAGCATGTATGCGTAGATATATGGATGTAAAGGAGACGAAAGAGGTATGTCAGGATCGTGCCAAATGGAAGTCCGTAGTCTCGGCCTACCCCTCTGGGTGACAGGCTGTGAGTATTTATATATATTATATATATATATATATATATATATTATATATATATATATATATATATATATATTATATATATATATAATACTATTAACTAGTTCTACCAACTAGCGAACATTATCTCATAAGTATCTTATACAGTAATATTAGGAATTTTTAATCTCTCCCTACAGAAAGAAATGCTGCTATACGAATTATTTTTATTACGATTTATAAGTGAAATACAAAAGAACAAGGTAGATTATATAACAAGCATTAAGGATATAAGTTATCACTTGAAACCTTTTTACACTTTAAACCATTCTTCTTCTACCGGAGAGACCTCTAAAAGTGCCGCCGTACTCCGTTATTCGTCCCCTCTTTAGTTTATCGAGTAATATTTCTTTCTCTGGCATATACTCAAACTTCGGCGGGACTTCTGTATATCCCATTAGGTTCCGCATTGACAGCGGCCGAAGACCTCTATTTGTATAAATGTAAAAATTTATAGGATTCAATTCATCCGCTTCCTTGGGGATTTGTATAACGATTGGGCTTTCTGCTAATGTCACTCGTAATAAAGCTAGAATAACTATAATTTTACTTGTAAACGCCATTTAAGTTAAACAATGAGTTATGAAAGTTACTTGCGAAATACAGAACGTTATATGCGTGAAAATGTTTTGATATCGAAGAAGTTGGATAACAATTTATGGGGCAATTTTATCGGGAAAATATTGCTGCATTAAATCGACATTTGTAAAAACTAAAGTTCGGAAAGAACAGAACCGCCACCAGCATTTTGTATATTTACTTGAAACATATCGAGCCATTTTCAACTCCCTCACAACCTCAAAACTATTAAATCGCCGCAGTGAAGATCGAAAATTCTAAATTTCATAAATAATAATTATTAGTATATATTTTTAAGGTCTATCAATATTACGTGTCCAAAAGAGTCGACAAAATTATTATAGCAATTAGTTCCAAGTACTATACTTAAAACTAACTACATCATTGATTTTGTCAATATCGAATATAAAAATAGAACAGTGAAACGTAAACGTAATAAAAAACGTTGAACATCGTATAATTAATGATATTAATAAAATGATAAAACGTTTTAATAATGGACATATTCAAACGAATGAAACTAGATGAGGGGTTCGAGACGACGGTCGGGGGGGGGGGACCGGAGGGGAGACATTGGGTAACAGGCGTGAGAGTTTATGGTTATGTATTGTTTTTTAAACGTTACCGCAAACTAGGATTTTTTTCTGTATCGTGGAGGCAGTTTACAAACATAAATTGCACAAGGACAAACATCCAGACCCGGAACAATTATTTATAGGTCATACAAATACTTGTTTCGTGCGGGATTTGAACCCGTGGCCCCCAGTGCAGCAACTCATTGCTAAGCCACTGCGCTACGGAGCCGTCGAATAATATTTTATATATTATACAAATAAAACCTCATACATACATTTTTGGTTTGATTTGGTCACATTAGCCCGCTTGGTAACTACCTAGTACTTATGACAAATATCCCCCTTATAAGGTAAATCTATGAGGGAGGCCACTTTGCAGCAGTGGACTTTATTAGGCTGCAACGGTAACGGTTGGTCATAATGGTTTGGTATACCGTCTAGTGACGGTGTCGGAATATCCAATACTCCATGTCATCCCGTGGGTGTCGTAAGAGGCAATAGAGTAAAACAAATCAAGAGATGGGCAGCAGTCTCTTCCTAATAACCATTGAAATAAAAAATACGTGTGGCACTCGGGGACTGCCGCTGTAAAGCTATTGCATAGCATTTTGTATCAACTTATGCAATTATAATTATTTATTTATTTTATTTATGCAGTATTTCTTTTTCTTTGATATTAATTCAAGTTACTTAGGTTAATCCAATCAAATTCAACCAGATTTAACCGAACCCGCGTTATAATGAACTCACTATTTGTGAAAAATACTGTATCACCGGACCGCGTCACAAAAAACTCAGGTTCGCGCAGTACATACGTCAGGGCGGCCGTACGGCAATTATATTAACAAGACGCGCAACTACTCAGTTCCACGCTCCACGGCAAGATTTGTCACTTATTATTTATTGTCCAATTAATTGTCTTTAAGTTCAAATGGCACGCTCTATTAACATAAGTCTAAGTCAAAACAAGGAGACTTTCAATATATGAACAACCCGGCTTCGCGTTTGTGTTAGTAAAATAAGCTCTTATTAAGTTAGCTTAGAGTTTAAATTAGTGTAAGCTATACGCAATCCTTGTGGCATAATTAATGTAGGTAGTATTTTATTGACTCCCATTGTCTCGGCCGACGCGACGGTTGGACCGTAAACGTAAACGGATGACGCTTTCTAACGATAATGAATATAATATTATAACAGTCAATGGTTAATTATTCTAATGTGTTGTAAGATTAAAAATATATAATGAAATATATTATCTGTTGTATGTTATAACGCCCAACTTTAGGGGTGACCGACCGCGCGCACAAATGCAGCTAACCTCCCCCTCCCGCACCTCATTAATCGTCGCTTCACACCGCTTGAGATAAGACGATCTACTATCAGGCGCTAAAAAACCCCCGTCCCGGACATAAGGACCTATGTCCGCGAGTAAATTGGCAATTAGAAGACGCTTGTATTGTTGGTTTTTACAAAAACGATCAACTGGGCAAATGATATCTGGCCCTTTGCTTTGTGAAACAACATTACAGTTAAATAAAAAATTAGGTGACGGCGGTTCGTTTGTCGCAAGTAACGGATGGTTATATAGATTTATATCTATTCATGGAATTTAATCAATGTTTATTAAAAAATAATAATTTCTTAATAAACATTGATTTTCGTTGAAATTGTTGTTTTTAATAAACACATAACATTATGTATGTACATATGTACTACAAATGCACAAAACCCGCTTTTCTTCATACATTCGATCATCCGGATTTTCGATTACCCGAATCCCTAACGGCAACAATTAGTCCGGTTAATCGAGTATATGTATACATATTGAGAATCTAAATTGAGAATTTAAACTATACGCGTGTGTGTGTTTGTGTGTATATAAAGAGGGCTACTTTTAATATCGCTCATTTTAATATCAAAAATTTAGGTTATCTTTATAGCAGTATTATATTTTCAATTCAAAATTAGTACTGCATTTGTGATAATAATAAAATGTAGGTATGTATATAGAGTACTCACTCATTTTCTTTCACTATTTTTTCGTGACTTTCTTCATTAATAATAAATGCACTTTATTCATTCATATTCAAAATTTCAAAACACTTTATACACAAACACCGTGTCGAAGACTGAGGAAAAGAAACGACGTTAGACCATCGTTAGACAATGCACGGCCTTCAAGCCACACCTCCGTGCCCGTCGGAGAGCGTGAGGTTTTTTTCGTTACGAAATTTCTGGATTTTCCCGCACTAGCAATAGCTTAAAAAATTGGGGCTGCCAAACCTGTAGTCAAGCGTGGCAACTATGACAAATATCCCCCTATGAGATAATCCACGGGAAAAGCCTATGTTCAGCAGTAGACTTTAATAGGATGTAATGGTGTATAGCTTTGGTATTAATCCTTACAAAATACACAATATGAAATAAAGGGGAAAAGAATTAAGAAAAAAAAAGCCGTAATAAATAACAATTTTATTCATCTTCCTTTCACACTCTTATTTATATTTGATGGAGTTGTCCACATTGCTTAAATATTTTTCCAATTTCTGTCTTTATCTGGAAGTGGCTCATCAAAATTATACTGTTCGGCTATAGTTGGTAAGCTTGCGTAGTAATTTGGAGAAGTCCAACGAAAATGCTGCCTGATTGGCTTCACCGTGTTCTGTTCTACTTGATGTGGTTCTTGAGCTTTAGTTTCCACGCTGTCCGTATCTTGGACCTCTTCTTTATCATCAAACCGTATATTTTCAGGATTTTTTTTGTTTTCATCTGATTCTTTACTCTTTTCGCTGTAATATTTCTCTACTTGCTTTTGATGTGTTTCATATTTTTGTGTTGCTAGCTTACCACGATTGCTTTCTATTTCTATATCGGCGTTGTTTTCGATACTCGTGAAGACATTGTCTTCTTTTTCTGGGGCAACATAATACTCATAGCTATCGTTAGCCTTCGGTCTAAGATCAGTTTCTTCGATTATAGGGATTTCTTCAACTATTAAATCTGCGTCAGTATTCAACTGACTTGGGGTAACATACCATCTGCCATAGTTGGTTGTTATAGTTGTTGATTTTTGTTTTCTTATTGTTATATGTTTGATACTGTGTTGGATGTTTGAAGGTTTTGTTGTAGCTTTTCTTTCTCGCAAGTGTTTTTGCCTTTTACCAACTCTCTTAATTTTTCGATTCTCATCACTTAACTTTTTTGCTAGTTTTAATCGCAAAAACTTACTGAGTAATTCTTTAATAACTCTTTCTTTAATTTCTTGTGCTAATTGATCTACGTTAATATTTTGATTTTCAGGACCATCTGGTTCGTTAATGGTTCTCCTATTTTTATTGAATGAAACTTTGTTATTTCTGTCTTTACTAACAGTTTTGACATGTTCATAGTCTGAACTTTGATCATAAGTATAACTGTCTTCATTTTTATCGCTTTTTGCATTGGTGTGTTGTCTTAGCACTTTAGAATTAGCAACTATTTCACTCAGTCGTTCAGACAGTTCTATTGGTATCATCTCATTCGCCAGGTCGAAATCATTTAAATTCGCAGCGAAAAGAAAGTTTACGTTTACATATTTTGTTATTACGAGTAAAATGAAGCTATCTGAAACATAATAAACTTTTCTCATTAAATTTTCAATGTACTAATAATAAATATTCCTTATTGATATTTCTAAATTTGATTGAACGCAACTAACTTCAAATCAAGAAAGAACAGATGTATCGTCATCTCTGAGGGTTTAAATTGGAATGCCTCACAGCCTGTAATTATTGTGGCCCGCTATACCCTTCAGACCGGAACACAGCAGTGCATGCACTGTTGTATGGTGGCGAAATGAGAAAGACATCGTCACCAACTTAGACGAACTCTTAGGCATAAAATGTGGCCTACATAATTATTGTAAAAATATTAGACATAGTATTAGGGCAAATCTTCTATATAATGGAAGTGACAAAAGACGCCAAATTTCACGAAAGCACATCGCGTCAAAATTCACGATACTATCCTCACCATCTGGATGCTCGGCGGTTAAAAACTGTGCGTTTTAGAAGTTTTCTTCCTCTTACAACATCTCTGTGAAATTGTCAAACACGAGCGACTTGTCGGTATAGATACGACTTAGGGACCTTCAAGAAAGAGCTTACTCCCTTATAAAAGGCCTGCAACGCACCGGTGATTCCCCTGGTGTTGTGGTTGTTCATGGGCGGCGGTAGTCACTTAACATCAGGTGAGCCGCGTTATTGTTTGCCCCCTCTTCTATTTTAAAAAAATCTGGCAGTCGTAGGATTGCATATTAGGAATTAAAATTTCTTAGTTTTAAGAATTTTTAACATTATTTTGGAACCCTAAACACCCGTTAAGAAATATTTTATTAGAAATAATTTTATAAACGTAATAATATAATAATAACATTTTCATTTAAAGCAATGGTTTACATGAAAGAGATTATTATCTATAAAATACAAACAAACTGATAAACACATATCAATTTTATAAAATTTAATCAATTGGATTTTCAACATAACTCTTATCAATTTTATGTGTCTGAGCGTGTGGGTCACGCGAGTTCAGTGCTATTTCCTCCATCCAGTGTTCAACGTGCCTAAAGAAGATTTCAATTAAAAAAAATTAATATACTTACACAAGGAAAATGAAGATGAAAGACGAACCATTGTTATATTTCATATCATGTAAAATAATTATACATAATGGTAACATTTAGCGATAATACTTCGTTATAATAATAAAATTTCTGAATTATTTTTAGGTCAGCACATAGTTTTTAACGTCCGTGTCAAAGCAAAACTCCCGCACTTTTTACGCCATGTTTACATTCTACAACGAAATTTTAAAATTCCATTCTTCAAAACATAATAATATTAAAATTTTATAGCTTCTAGCATATACGTAAAGCGTGTACGATAAATGAAAAAATTTTTTTTCTCTACAAGAGTACGGATAACATCCACGAACCATTTTATTATACACTTCTCACAAAAATTAAGGCAGCAAAATATTCCCTAATTTTCAGGTGATTCTTAACTAAGCTTTTCTCAGCAAAAATGGTCGTAGAGACTTCAAAAAAATTATAGTTAGTTTTAGTCATGGTTTCAATGCAATCCAACAAAATAACGCGAACAAAAAATTTTAACAATTTTACTCTTTTTTCTTGCTCCACGGGCTCGGAATTTTTTTTCGATCTGGTAGCCTGTTTATTCCGCTTCAATTTCCTTTTTTATTTTCTTGCTACGTCTACTTGCAGCGGAAATATCCGAAACTGAAGGATAAAAGATTCTTTTGGCTTCAACCAGTGACCGCACAGAAATTTGAAAGGCAGTTTCGAAAACTGGAATAAAACTCCTAAAAGTATAGCTAGTAATAGTTAAATATAGAGATATAGATATTCTTCAAATTAGGAATATTGGATGTCAATGTAAAGACCTTGCCCAGGCTAAAGGCTCAGGATTGTGTGTTGTGACGTTCCTTGGTTTAGCAGTGGACTTGTGAAATGGATATTACCTGTCCCAGAATTATGATGTTTGAAAACTTTGACAACTTTTAGAACATTTTTATTATTAAAGTGTTTTTCAAATTCAAAACACACAAACAGTGTGTGTTTTCTTTTACATATTACATCCTTTTTTTTTTCAAAAAAAAAGGAACAGACTGCTCCCATTAATAACAACTGTTTGCATTCTATAATTTAGATATGACGCAATAAGTTTAAGCGCTATGTTTTTTACACTATAATGATGTAGCTTTCTGATTAATGTCTCATGGTGAACTCAGTCAAATACTTTGGAAAGATCACAAAATATAACCAAAGCATCTTCTGATATCTCCCATGTACAGAAAATATTTTTGATAAACTCAACACCGGCATCAGTTATTGAGCGACTCCTGATAAAACAAAACTGATTCTATGGAGCAGTTTATTTTTATTAAAAAACTATTAACAATTGATTTAGAACATTTTTTTTAAATTTTACTGAGCGTTGACAGTACAGAAATAGGTCTAAAATTAGTCGGTTTCAATGTACTGCCATATTTAAATTAAGGTATAACTTTACTATGTATCATTAAATCAGGAAACAAATCTGATTCGATATTAGTATTGAAAATATTAGCAAGATGGGGTGCGACCGCATCTATTAAAGTCGCAATAACTTTAACGGAAATCCCACAATCTCAAATAGATCTGCTGTATTCTTAATATCAATATTTTTAAAATATTTTACAATATCACCTAATAATATTTTATGAAATGCATATTGTTTTACAAAACTTTATATTTTGTTAGAGAAATGACTTTCCGACAGAAGGGGAGGAATTCAGTGACTCCGTTGTCAAGACCGGAATGTTGGTAAAATATACTTCAAAAGTCGTTTAAACATCTTCATCTAATGTCGTTATATTATTGTGAAAATTTGATTGAAAGTTTCAGTTGTGTAATTTCATCTTGACAGTTTCACTATTGATTATACTCCAAGTCATTTTAATTTTATTAGAGGTATTTTTAATTTTGTTTCTTGAATATAAATACTTGGCTGTGGAACAAAATCTTTTAAATATTTTTAAATATTTTTTTCCACAATCCTTAAATAAAAGACTACAATTATGATCTTTCATTGTAAAGTTCATATAATTTTTGTCTACTCCTATGAATCCCTACTGTCGCCCACTTATTAAACAATTTGCGACTGTTACTAAGGCTAATATTAAATACGTCCGTTTAGCAATATCATAGAATACTATAATACATACATAATAGAACGGGGAAGTGGGCGGGCATGTAGCCACTAAAATGCCACTAACACGTCAATTCACACGTATAAATGTCAACACGAGACGTGTTTTAACGTTACATTCGTTTCCAAATTTCGCATGATAATTATTTAGAAAATGACAAATTGCACGCTATTTGCAAATGAATATGTATTAAAATCCGTCTGTCAGTACAACGAATCGGGTTTGTAGTAGTGATTAACTGATAATACGATGTAATTCCTTGTATGTGTGCTCCCGGCGACGCCTATCGTTGTACAAAATAAGGTTGACAGCCATTCTATTGTGTATTATAGTATTTTATGAGCAATATATATGACGTGATTGATTTATGTAAGTAGAGTTCTCCTTAGTGAATGATTACGAACCAACTTTTTAAAAGCATGCGATTGCGATGACAAAGTTAATATATTCATTTCTTTGAATTCTTCTCTGAGGGCATTTTTACAATTAAGTTATGAATCGCCCGTTCAGCCCTCTTTTGTAAATTAAATATGGTTCCAATGATGTTTTACTTCACTACCAAGCTCGGGGTAATCTACACAAAAAATTGCAGTTGATTCAGTTTTTTATATAACATAAGGGTGGTAAACGAGCACATCCGATGGTAAGTAGATGCTATGGCCCTTATCCTTAATAATATACTCGCAATGGAAATCATTCTACAAAATAATTTGTTTCAAACCTTAACAATATGTTGACGAGTCGCATTGCGAAGTTTTTGAGAGAATTTGATGGTAGTTAGCAGACAAAATAACTTGAGGTTTAAGTCATGGAACACTTTTTTCATCGTTTTCACTAATAGTTCACATGCGCAGACATTTAGTACATAAAATCTTATTACATTTATATAAAACCCATTTTGAGTTCCCGCCAAAACTCCAAGTTATAGCGTCAGTCATTCCTTTATAGTTTTTCGTTTTTCCTTATTTTCTTTAGCGTTAAAATTTATTTTCGGCCAATATATTTAAAAAGCAAATAAAAAAATTTGCATTCGTAAGAGATAAAATGTAAAGATAAACAAACTTATAGTCTACCTAATGGTAAGTGGTAACTGCAGTCCGTGGACACATGCAGCTAACTTCAAACAAAAAAGCTATAAATGCGTTGTCATCATTGAGGAGTAAGCTGGAACGCCTCGCAGCCATAATTACACTGACTCTCTGTATCCTGCAGACCGGAACAAAGCAGTGCAAGCGTTACTATTTGATAGAAATTAGTCTCGTGTAGTTCGCGAACGATGAACAATTTAGAAACGTATCTTGCCACTGTACTAGAAGAAACGTTTTCGAATGCTGATTTTTTTATCAGTTTAACAGCTCTTTTCATACACCTACACTCGCAAGACGCCAACACTAAACGTAAACGTAATTCGAAAATCGGTCAGTAGCCAATCAAGTAGACAAGAGCACAAAATAATAAGAAATAATAGCGTAGACAAGAGCCAATGAATGCCTCTCTGATAACCGTTCCACACAGATACAATTTAAACAGGTTAATGGTACTGATGACCGAATAGAACTAATAAAACGAACTACAGTTCGTGCCAAAACGATTGAGAAAAACGGACATTGACCTTTCGGTCGCTTAACCAGGGGCTACAAACTTTCAATATATATGCACTTTTTATATGTAGTACTTTCTTTATTTATAATGATTTTTTATTTATTTTTTAAATGATTGATATAAAATATATTTATTAACTATTATTAAAAAGTAATTTAAAAGATCGCTATAGAAGAAAAATCATCTATTGTTATAAAGTACTTTATTCATTTAACAACCAAAAGCATTAATTTACAACACATTCGATTCGAGTGATAACGACACCGAATAAGTACGTACTTATTCAAAAGATAAAACTTTATTTTCAATATCATATAAGATATTTATTTTTATTCTGTGCATGTGGGCTGGCCCAAAAAAGCGACGCATCTCTGGCTGCCATTTTCACGTTTCTTTTAGGACGAACTGACGTAACGCGCGTTTTGTTTATTTTAAAGTGTTGAATTTGCAAAAGCTCAATATGGGATTATATTGCTTCAATAAAATAGCATCTGATTGCTGTGCTGTTACAAGAGGTGTTCCGCAGGGTTTAATACTTGGTCCCTTGATTTTTTCGCTGTATAGTGCTGATATCGCAAAACATATATGTAGCTAACTGTAGCTATCATATATATGCTGATGATATACAAGTGTATAATTTCTTTCAAGCCAAATGAGAGTACTGTAGCCATACAAAAATTACATGAAGACCTAAATCGTATAGTCGACTGGTCTGAAGCAAATACATTAGTACTTAATCCTAATAAAACGAAATATATGCTACTTGGTACCAAAAAACAAATAAATAAAGTCTTGGCAAATCGTCCTTTAATTTCAATTAAAAATGTAAATATTGATCGAGTTACTGAGATTAGAAATTTAGGAATATTGATGGATGAGGCACTACACTTTGAAAAACATATAATAAATAACGTTAAAAATTGTTTTTACAGATTAAAAGTACTATACCAGATAAGGGATGTATTAAAGACGGAAGTCCGTATCAGATTATGTGAGTCCTTGATACTGTCCAAATTCAATTATGCAGATGCAGTAATAGGTCCTAGACTTCTCAACCGTTCAAAGAAACTTATACAGCGTGTACAAAATGCTTGTGCGCGCTTCTGTTTTAAAATACCTCCCCGTGCACATGTTACACCTTAAATTTATAATGCGATAATGCTCAAAATGGATTACCGCTGGCAGTTGCATTTTGCTACGCTGTTGTTTGGTTGTATAAAATACAGGACGCCGTCTTATCTCTATGAAAAATTGCGCTGGGCTCGAGACAACGTCTTAACAAATGTAGTGACAAGAGCTTCGGCGTACGGGTTGCTTCTGCCTCAACACCGCACCGCTGCCTTTCGAGGCAGTTTTCGATATGCAGCAACGAAGTGTTGGAACAACTTGCCGCCGCCGTTCCGTAATATGCAATCGATACATAGCTTCCGTCAAAAATTTAAATTGTTCCTCTTAGATCAGCAATCTCAAAGTGAAGTAGTGCAGATATTTTGATAGTATGTAATTTTATAAATAATGTATGAGCGTGTATATGTGTATGTATGTGTGCTTATATTTATGTATATATATGTACATACATATATATATGTATATGAGTGTGTGTTTGAGTATGTATATATTATTTATTGAAATTATGTAATGAAGCGGTGTACTGCAGCTGGTTTGTGTATTTGTTTGTAGCTTAAACTTAATTACGTTCCTGAGTGAATTTCAATGCAACCACTTAATACTGTTATTTAAGAATATTTTATAAGGATTGTGACAATATTACAAGAAATAAATTTTTGTTATTATATTTGGTTTAACACAACAGAACTGCCCTCTGCACATAAAGAATATATAATATATGTATATATATTTATTTTTTTATATATCTATTTGTGTATTTTTATTTTAAATATATAAGGGTGCCACTGAAAATCAGGGTTGGGGTGTTGTACTTCTGATAAATTCCAACATATCCTGAGTGGCTTTCCTTTTTAGAGCAGAGCAGCATTAACGGGTGGATTATCTTTGTAATACACCTTATGCATTACTCCTTATTCTCTAGTTCTTTATTATTATTATTTTTTTAATGTTATTGTTTGCTTTTTTTTTTTTTTTTTTTTGTTTTACCATATCTATAAACAAGGAGCGAATGTCCTGTTTCATGATTTCTATGTATAATTTTTTCTTTTTTTTTCTTTTTTGTTTGTATGACTACTTAAATATTATGTGTTTTATGTAATCCGCTTGAGTCAGTTGCATGTGCCAAATAAAATCTGTTTCTTTCTTTCTTTCTTTCAAATACTTTTTTTTATTATGAAACTGTTATTAAATGAATTGCTGTGTTACTTACCATTAATTGGAATATAAAATGTAACACATATTTCGTGATGTACCGTAAGATTTTACGATGTTTATAGAAACCACAGACAATATCATTTAAGAAAAAAAACATATGTGCTGACCTAGAAGTGTGAATAATATCAATATTTAAATATTGTTATCACATCTAAATTGAGATTTTGTGAGTTACACCTTTTGACACTCGGCTCATATCTGAGGTCATTGTCCGTTTTTCTCAATCGATTTGGCACGTACTATAGTACGGAGCGATCTTTATAATGACTGAGCAGGTACAAAACTAACAGAAATAGGTAAGAAGGTGACACTAAGCTAGTAGTATGTAAACAACCTTGATGGTTAAAAGAGTATTTAAAATAGTTTACTAAAGAAAGAAATATTTTATATTCTATTCCATTTCCACGACTAAGATGGCCATTAATCTACTCATAATACGGTAAAATCAGTTTAGCCGTTTAGGCTACAGGCTACAGGTGCCAAAGGACAGTCGATTAAAATTGTTGATGAATAAAACAAAGTTGCGTAGTTGAGATCTTTATTCAATACGAGTAGTGTAGTAATAAAATACGCCCTAATATTTAAAACTTAACGTTATACTTAGTCCAAAACATTGTGAAACTTTTGATTTAGGAATAGTTGCGACTGAGTTGTTCTGGTTTATTTGGTATCAGTTTTGTTAATACTTCTCGCCACTCTTATGTTCTCTGGGTAAAGGTCTGTAAAAAAGTATGATTCAATAAGTATAAACGATTAATGACATTGTAGTGACTTATCTTTTATTGAAGTGAAAACATCTTTAAAATTGTTGTGAACCGAAGGTTAATGAAACGAAAAGCCGATACTAAAAAGAGACAGAAATATACAGCTGTAGCATTTAGCCTACGAGAAAATGAGATAGAATTACAATATAGCTTTTCCTATTATCTCTGCCTCCTTCTTTGAAGGTTTCACTTTCACTACGTGTGAAATGCACACGTTATATATCACGAAATGGAATATTTCTCTTTAACCTTTCAGTTTATTAAAGTCTGCTGCTGAAGATAGGCCTCTTCCATAGATTCCTTTAAGGGGCGGATATTTGCCAAAGTTGTCATACTTGGCAAGCACGTTGATTATCGCAGTTTTTTGTTTTTATTCTTCATCAGGAAGACGCTGCTGCTCATCTCTTGATTTGTTCCCCCCTGTCGCCTCTTACGTCACCCACGGGATGATATGCGGTTGTGAATTTGTTATTCTTACACCACTATTAGACGGTAATGATTTAATAATAATTTATTTTAATATTATAATTATTAGAACAAATCAAATTAGCATGTCTCTACTAAAGACTTAGTATTTTATGGATGGTATTTATTGATATCTCTTGTAACATATTTTTCCCCCCCTTTTTTTTTCGTTTGTGTTTCTTTTTTTTTTTGTGTGTGTGTCAAGATTTTATTACTACATACTGAAAAGAAAATAAATAAACACATTACGCGTCATAAAACGTGACTTTGGGAAATGCAGAGAGTTATTATGGGTTCCAAAAATGACATCTCAGTCATCGACAATGTGTAGTGACGGTTTAGTTTAGTAGCCGTAAACATGACAACTGTTCATAAGGTTGCGGCTTCGAAACCCGGGTCGGACTAATAAAATCAGTTATTAAGTTTTTCTGTTCATAAATGCTCACATTACTCAGCCAGGAAGTTGGTGGTGTTACACACCCGGACTAACGTGCCTTGTAAAGCACGTAAAGCCGTTGGTCCTGCACCTGATCTTTCTCCGGCCGAGTAAAATTGCCGTCCCATTGGACAACGAAAGTGAGGGAATAGAGAGTGTACCTGTGCTTGCGCATACACTTGGGCACTATAATCCTGTCCCGCGAAATTGGCTAGATTACCTTTGATACTGACCGCCGCGACCGAAATTCGGTCCCTGTCGGGCCGAATTTGACAGTCTGGCGGTTTAAGAATATCTACTAACCCATATCACCCTGTAGGTATCATAAGAGGTGACAGGATGAAAAAAACAAGTAGATTGACAGTAGCGTCTTTCTAATATCGACTAGGTAATAAAAAACTGATTGTCCATCACGCGAGTGTGGCAACCAGTTTTTTATTACCTAGCAAAACGTAGGCTAGAACTAATAATGCTTTATGATAAGTGTCTTCAGGAACAAAAGCATCTGGGTGTAATTAATCTATAATATGTATGTATTTAGAAATATATAAGTATGTTTATCAGTTGTCTAGTACCCATAACACAAGCTCTGCTTAGCTTGGGACTAGATGGCGTTGTGTGATAGTTGTGGAATATTATTATTATTATTTGGGCATATGAAAACTTCAAGAGAATCATTGCATAATATAAGATCTATTAAGAGGATATAGTAAGTCAGCTCAAATTATAATATCGCCCCCACTTCCCCGCGCGTCGTATGCTATGTACCGACATGTTTGTAATCACTAATACTGTAAGTAGATAGGTCGTTAGATACTTATTTCATTAGGTTTATCATATTTATGCCTGTTTCTTAACGCCAACCTAGTCGCTTCTTATTTTTATTACGGTTATTTCCCATTTTAACTTTACGTCGTCCTGTTGCGTAATGTGTATTCTGATCGTAAACGACACAACCTCCCCCTTCAAAAACCGAAGCGAAACTGACCGGGCGGCAGGAATTAAGCTTCAAGAAGCCGATAGTTTAGGTAATTTCTTTTTACAGTGAAAATAATGGTATTTAAAAAAAGTAAATAACATAAGCACTGTTTTATAGTTAGTTCTTATTTAAAGTATTTTATGAATAACAGAGGTTTATTGTTTATTTTGGAGGTAACTTTGGATTTTTTTCTAGGGAGAAAATTTTACGGAATCGTGTTTTCGTCTAACATAGTCCTTAACATTAATCCTCAACTTTACCATATATTTATTTCAAAATTAATGCTGCCATATTTTCGGCATAACGGAGGATCTTGCTAAGCCATTTGAGGATATATTTCCCCTTAATTAATCTGAGACGTTACAGTTATTGAATTGTTGTAAATTACAATCATAAAACTTCTATGAATTGTAACATATAACAATTGGTGACAGATAATGGATGAAGGTCAGAATCAGTTAATATCGCTCATATTAAAGTCCCCCGATTGTGATGAATTTATCTTTAGAATGGCGATCAACGATAGTTCGAAGTTTGGTTAAGGAATTATTAAGTTGAATAAAAAATGTATATCATCATATTGGATTTAGTCTTTGGGTACCAAGTCTTTAACGTTACCCACAAGTCTTCAGCACTTGATTTCCTGATGTATGATATATAATGTATGGAAAGGACTACTTCCTGACATTCAGGATTCCTAGTTCAGGAGCTGAGGCTCAATCGGAACCTGTGTATCATTTTTATTTGAATCTAGTAAAATATTATTACTTACCATAGGTTATCTCTCTGCCAAGGCGTGGAGAAAACTGGACAGTGCGACCTAATCTTGGGGAGAAGTATTCTGATCTGATGTCCACTCGTTCGTGACCGCTGTTGACGAGATTTTACGAGTTAGTTTTATTTAATTTCTTAAATATTCGCGAATAACACACATTGAATAAAATTATCTTTACAGATTTTTTTTTCAATCTGTGAACGTGTTCGAGACCGTCCCACCGTCAGATTTGATGAACCTCAAATCCTAGCAAAAGAAACATAATTTCCTACAAGGATACGCCAGGCTATTGGAATCAAAAACATCTTAATTTCAATAGAGGAGATATATGGGTGCTGTCATCTACTTGGTATCCTATAATTAATTTTAAAACGTAAATAAAAATAAAATCCCAACCCCAGCACACCACTGCAGGACTTCAAGATACTGTGACCTCGTTCTGCGTAAATCCGACCAAAAATTAATATTTAAAAGCTGATTGTAGCCGTCTTAACTATGACATCGGGACGTCACACGCAGAAAGAGCTTACAGTATCTTGAATTCTTGTATTGGTATGCTTGGGTTTGGATTTAATTTTGTTAATTAAAGGATAGTTTAATTTTATTAATATGTGATGTGTTCTTCCTCACTAGCTCATAACGGTCTACTAGACATGGTCCTCGTAGTAAGGATTTGCCACAGTCATAGCGCTTAGCAGGATGGCACATTGTACCAGACGTCTCGCACATATTAACCTTTTTATAGAAGTGGGGGTAGATGAATGGTTTTCTTTAAGTGGCAGAGCCATGCTGCAGCTATATTATGGTTGTAGCACGAATGGATCGGCTCGACTGAAATAGGACCACGCTCTCACAGAATACCAGCGTGAAATAGCAGTTTAATGCTGCTGTATTTCTGTTTGGTGAGTGTAGAAAACCGGAGACCTTTTTTACTGGAAATGAGGTAATACATCTCAGTTCTCAGGGGTGACAACGCATTGTATTTTGATTCCCCATTGAGGATAAATGAAGATTTCTATGGTCCACGGCATCCACTTACCATCAGGTGGACTGTGTGCTCGCTTGTCACCCTTATTCTATTAAAAAATAAGGGCACGCGGCTCTCCTGGAGAGCTCGATGGTAAGTGACTATCGCCACCCATAAAAAAACTATAAAAACCAGCGGAATTGCATGTGCGTTGTCGGCCTTTAAAAAAAGAGTAAGCTCGTTTATTTGAGGGGACCCTTAGTCGTATCGGTCCGGAATTTGCCGGTGGTAAACGATTCTACAAAGAAGTTGTGTGAGGAAGAAAACTCCTAGGAACCCTGGCCTAGGTATTTCAGATCTGAAGATTGGTAGCAGCGTAAGAGGATCCATCACTGCTTTTCGTTTTTTTTTTAAATTAGGGTGATACACGAGCACACAGTCAACGATGGTAAGTAAATGCTGTAACTCATAGACATCTATATTTATCCTCGATTAAGCATCAAAATACAGGTGCGTTGTCATCCCTGAGGACTAACATGGGATGTCTCGTTTCGTTCGGTTCGTTTCACGAAACGAAACAGAGTAGCATTGAACTGCTTTATTACACTGGTATTCCATGGGAGTGTGATCCTTCCCAGGTGGAGCCTACAAATTCGTGCTGCAACCATAATATAGCTCCAGCATGGTTCTACCGCTTAAAAAGTCGTCCTATGGATGTGGTATGAGGTACTGTGGGAAATACCAAAAATCTTATGTTCCCAATAGGTGGTTGTATATCATTTTGTATATAGCAGACGTAATATACCTGGGCATCGATGGGCCATAATGATGATTTGACTGACTCGTTAGTCTAGTGATTTTAAATGCGAGGGCTGATTATGAGGTCCCGGATTTAAATCCCGTGTCGGGCCAAATAAAACAGATAAGAAATTCTCAGTAGCTGCCCGGAGTCAGGAAGTAGGCGGTGTCACACGCGTGCCTCGGAAAACACGTTAAGCCGTTGGTCCTGTGCCTGATCTCTTTCCGGTCGCGTCAATTTATCTTCCCCTCGGACTATGACACCAGGGTACTGTAACCCTGTCCTGCGCCGATAGCTAGTCTCTGTTGAGGCCGCCATGATCGAAAATCGATCTGGAGCACATTATTATACCTAGGCCGATGACGAAGAACAGCTTCCAAGGTATCCACGTTTGATAATGCAATCATCGTGCAAGTTGCTGTTTGCCGGGAGAAATTATGGTGGTTTTTTTATAGCATAGGATGACAAACGAGCACACAGTCCACCTGATGATAAGTGGTTGTTGTGGCCCATAGACATCTACATTTATCCTCGATTATGAATCAAAATACAGATGCGTTGTCACCCGTAAGGACTAAGACGAAATGCCTCGTTTCCAGTAAAAAGGGTCTTCGGTTCTCTACACTAAGCATACGAACCACAACAGCATTAAGTTGCTATTTTACGCCGCCCCATTCGTGCTATAACTATACTACTAATATAACTACAGCATGGCTCTACCGCGTAATAAAAATAATGGTTACCCAGATAATGTTACAATGAGTTACAACACCCGGTTCATATACTTACATCTCCTGCTCAGGTGTGGTAGCCGGCTCCGGGGAGAATCTTCTGCCGAGACGCGGCGTGAACTCCACATTCTCGTAGCCTCTCTTCTCTTGCATGCTTTCCAAGCTTCTCCCCAGTTTAGGGGTAAATATGACCTTCTTGATGACTGAATCATACAATTAAAACAAAGTCAGATTTATTAGCTACGTATACCAATTGTTACTTTTGCATTTTAAAAAACTGACTTGAAACTTGAAAAACTGACAGATTTAAAGAATTTATATTAGTAAGCAAACCCTTTTTACTCTCGATCTAACCAGTATTTAAAAAAAAACTTGGATGACAAACAAGCACATAGTTCACTTGATGGTAAGTGGATGCTGTGGCCCATAGACATCTATATCTATCCTCCATTAAGAATCAAAATGCAGATGCGTCATCATCCGTGAGGACTAAGTTGTAATGTCTTGTTTTTAGTAAAATGGGTCTCCGGTTCTCTATACTCACCACACGAAACAAAGCAACGTTGATCTGCCTTTTTGGCTGGTAAAAATTTTATTTATTTTTATTTGTTTTATTTTTATTTTAAAAAACGTTACCTCCACACTAGGATTTTCTCCTGTATCGTGGGGGCAGTTTACCAACGTAAATTTCACAAGGACAAACATCCAAACCCTGAACAATTACTTGTAGGCCATACAAATAATTGTTCCGTGCGGGATTCGAACCCGCGGCCCTTAGCGCTATAACTCATTGCTAAGCCACTGCGCCATAGAGCCGTCAAATTGTATCGTTTAATGATGTTATTTGGACAATTTTAGCCATGTCAACAAGTTCTAGGTATAATGCGGATGCGTCATCACCCCTGAGGATTAAGATGGGATGCGTTATTTCCAGTAAAAAGGGGCTCCGGTTCACTACTCTCATTATACGAAACACAGCAGCACTAATTTGAACTTGAATATGACAATTTGATTACTGGTGTGGGTCGGTTCGATTGGGGAAGGATCACGCTCTCACAGAATACCAGCGTAAAATAGCAGCTTAATACTGCTGTGTTTCGTATAGTTACTGAAGATAACCGGAGACTTTTTTTCACTCCAAACATGCCTTGTTTGCAGTAAAAAAGTCTTAGGATTTCTACCTTAGTTTAGCTAGATTCAATCTTAGTCCTCAGGGGTGACAACGCGTATGCATTTTGATTTAATCGAGGATAAATGTAGATGTCTATGGGCCATAGCATCCACTTACCATCAGGTGGACTGTGTGCTCGTTTGCCACCCTTATTCAATAAAAATAAAAAATATACATGTCTGACTGACTTCGGTTCGACATCTATATTTTTTAATTTAAAAACGGTCATGGTCACCACTCTCAACGGAGACTAGCCAACAGCGCAGGACAGGATTATGCAATAATCTCTCTCATTTGCCCTCGCTCTCATATTCCGACGATACGGTGATTCAACACGACCGGAGAGAGATCAAGTGCAAGACCAACAGCTTTACGTGCTTTCGAAGGCACAGGGGTATAACGTCGCCAAATGCCTGACTCCGCGCTGCTAATGAGAATAATTGTCAGAAAAATCCAATAACTGATTTTGACCCCACCCGGGATTCGAACCCGGGCCCTCAAGATCATCAGTCACGTTAACCATCACTAAACTGAAGAGGCGTCAAGGTCATACCATCGTATACGTTTGATAATTTGTATGTTTTCCACGAATAAACAAATATAAGATCATCTGGTTTACCTTTCTGAGGCTCGTCCACTTGCGACTCGTAAAATGGTAGCTGATCATAATAGTAATTCAGGGTATCAGCTGCCTCCAACATCCTTAGAAGTTTTTGACTGGAAGGAAATGTTTTTATTTTTAAACTATATAATTGCGTGGTGCCCACGCTAGCAACCTGGGTTCGTTGCCCGCCAGTACCAATGAAATTGTTATTTGTAATTTTAAGTGCTGATTTACCACGCGCTCGGCGGTGAAAGAAAACATCGTGAGGAATCCTGCGTATCTGCGAAATAAGAAAAATATTTCGAAGACATGTAAAGTTCGCCAACAAAACAAAACAAAAGCATTGGGGCAGCGCGGCGGACACTTCCTTGCCCTAAAACACTCTCAGAAGTTACAGGAGCCCTGTGCCCAGCAGTGGGACGTATATAGGCTATAATTTTAACTTTAGTATTTAAAATTTATATCCATCCAGCCTGACTGTGGTAGAGCTTTTCTGCAGCTACAACATTAAGATTATTGCACGAATGGGTGGGCGCGACCGGGGAAGAATCACGTTCTTTCAGAATACAGGGGTAAAATAACAGCTTAATGTTGCCGTCTTTCGTATGGTGAATGTAGAGAACCGGAGACCCTTTTTACTGGAAACGAGGCATTCCATCTTAGTCCTCACGGGTGACAACGTATCTGCATTTTGATTCGTAATCGAGAGCGGATGTAGATGTCTATGGGCCACAGCAACCCTTAGAGCATACATTACAGGAGGGGTTGAGCTGTGGTAGGTAGAGTTTCTTCAAGTTTGAGGCTGTAATGTAAATTTCACTTGTAGCGCATGGAGGTCTTTTTCACAGCGTGTATGCTGAGCAACCACTTACCATCAGGTGGACTGTGTGCTCGTTTGTCACCCTATCCTATAAAAAAGAAAAACTATTGTATTATAGATAATAGGAAACACTGCATACTGTATTTTTCTCATTCTATCGCAGGCTAAACACTATAGATGTATATGTTTGTCTCTGTTTAGAATCACTTTTTAGTTTCATCGGGTGTCAAATCAACAGATTCTTAAGAAGTTTATCACTTCAAAAATCATGAGGCTTTTGTTTTTCAATAGGGAAAATGGCTGTGTGCTACCATCTGCTTGTGATCCCATATTAAACCAAAACCCAAGCATACCACTGTAAACTCTTTCTGTGTAGATCTGACCATTAATCGATATTTAAAAGCTAAAGGTTTAGATAGCCCGGGCTAACTATGAATTAGAATCCCAAATGCCTTAGTCTCCCCATGACCATGGGTGCTGCCAATCACCCGAAACGTTGAGAAATTTTTTTTTGTAAAAATTTAAGCATTTTAAATTAGTTACATTAACCAACTTCAAACAGAAGGAGGTTCTCTTCATTCGACTGTATGTTTTTTTTTAATGTGTGTTACGTTAGAACTTTTTTAGGTTAGGTTTCTAAGCGAAACAATTTTGATGATTCTTTTTTTATATGAAAGCTGTTGTTCTTCTCGTGTGATAGATTTGATCAAGATATAAAAGTAAAAGTAAAAGTAAAGTTACAGCCTATATACGTCCCACTGCTGGGCACAGGGCTCCCCCTCATTTCTGAGAGGGTTTTAGGGCAAGGAAATGTCCGCCGCGCTGCCCCAATGCGTGTTGGCAAACTTCACATGTCTTCGAAATAATTTTTTTTTCTTATTCCTCAGACATGCAGGTTTCCTCACGATGTTTTCCTTCACCGCCGAGCACGTGGTAAATCAGCATTTAAAATTGCAATTAACAATTTCATTGGTGCCGGCGGGGACCAAACCCGGTTTGCTAGCGTACTGTGAAATTTACAGCGAGTACTAACAATCTGAGCTACCACGGCTATACTACTGGCATTAAATAAAACGATCGAACCCGGGTTACTCGCGTTCTGTTATATTTACAGCGAGCGTTAACCATCTGAGCTACCACGGCTCAAGATCGGACGGATCAAGATATAACCAATAGTTTTTGAGTTATCATTAGTAATGCGTATTTAATTGACTTCGGCAACATTGATGATGATCTCGTTTTAAAGTAAACATCAAAAATATCATCTTAAATAGCACTACTTATCTTTAGCATTACTAGCGTAAAATATAAAAAAAATTGTACAAAAATGTCACCCGTGTGAATCTATAAACCCAAACGAGTTACTCTGGCTTTTGGAGTGAGAGTACGTAGTACTATTATTTATTCTGTGGTGAGAGGTGCATAATATGTGTTGATCGGTCATATAGCGTGCGCAGTAATTACATCGCGCAAAAATTTAAATAAATAAATTTATATTGAAGTCGGTTGTAAAAAAAATATTTTACCCTTTGTTCAGCTACGAACTAGAAATAAATGATTAAATCTTACCCGTTATCTTCTGAAGAAAGACTCAGTGATCGTTTCCCGAGACGAGGACCGAACCAAAGACCGGTTCTATCACTGTGGGCCCCTCTGTCTAACGTCTCATCCTGGAAAGAAAAATGTTAGAATAGAATATTATAATTTCTATTCGATATAGAATTTAGATCCGAGAGTCTGGCTTCGTGGGGCAGTGTCTTAGTAATTAGTTCGAATCCCCCAAGGTAAAAGTATTGTATAGCCTACAATTAATTGAACGTTTGTCCTTGTGAGATTTAATATGTATGTTAACTGCCCCTACGATACAGGAGAAAATCCTAGTGTGGCGTTAACTTTTCTAAAGAAAAATAAGAAAGAGAAAATAGGACAATACTAATTGAAGATTACTTTTACTTTTATTCACAGTAATAATTATTTTCTTTTTTTCACGACAAAAACAAATATTTAATTTCTGTTTTTACGCATTAAAAATATATTAGTTCGGAAATTTGAAGGAACGGAAAAACTAAAACTTTCAAACGAAAAAACTTAATCAAAATCAGTTCACACTACAAGCTAAACACCCCTCTGTTTTCGTAGAGGGTTGAAAGTAGATTTTAAAGTATGAAGATGCCTTTTAAGTGAAGTAGCCAATTTAAATTATAATTAAACCTCCATGCTGTGAATTTTTTTTTACAAAAGTTATAACATTCTAAATTCAAAACTTTTATGACAAACAATTGAAAAAAGAAACAAACAAATAAAATTCAAACTTAAATTATTTTTTACGTTCATTATTTGTATTAAATTCTATTGCAAAGGCATAAATAATTTCCCTTGAGATGGCGGAAATATAAAGATATAAAGGTAAATTAATATTTCTAATAATACATTTTTCTTTAAAAATACGTTTAAGGATATTTTAATATAAAATTTCATATTATATATAACCTTTAATAAAAAAAAAACTGAAGCGTAACCAAGCGGTGCAACTATGGCATATATTCCCCTACAATACAATCTATGGACAGGGCCTATTAAATGTTCACCAATAAGCATTTGATAGACTGTAATGATGATGATAATAATGAAGACACTTGCGAAAGAAAGGTAGCTGAGCGGTGGCATGTATTGCCCTAGTGGCACAACGTGGTGACAGCGCATGCTACGGCATTATATTTTATTGCATGTAGGTGTCATTTCATATTTATTGCAAGGGGAAAGAGAGCTTAATTTTTGCTTAAGGCATTTATATCAATCATCAGATGTGAAACAACTGTGCCCTTTTTAGTCCAAAGTTAGTTGTAGGTGTCCATACTCTGCAAACACTCACTATGAGGTGAATGGCTATTTTCCTTTGTCACTCTTTTATTGAAAAAAAAAAACAATAGTACGGATATCATTACATTCCCAATTTACATACATACCTTCACTTCTTCACTGGATATTAAAACAAAACTGTACATGTTTAGTACGAAAAAACAAAACAAAAAGTCTTTAAAAATAGAAAGCATTTTAATATCTTTTACAGATATTAATAAAAACGGTTTTTTATCTATTCCCAATATTGTCCTGAACTTGACTGAAGAATGGAAAGCAAAGGTTTCTTTATATACTCCACTAAATCGAAAAGGTATGTTAATGAAAGGGGAGATAGGGGTGAAATATATGAATGTAGATCCTTAACTTTGAACTGTTCATTACATTTGTATTGTTTTACTTCGTGGTACTACGTGGTAGAGCCAGTCTGCAGCTATATTATGGTTGCAGCACGAATAGGTTGGCTTGACCGGGGAAGGACCACGCTCTCATAGAATACCAGCATCAAATAACAGCTCTATGCTATTATATCTATGTTTCGTATGGTAAGTATAAAGAACCAGAGACCCTTTTTACTGGAAACGAGGCATTCCATCTTAGTCATCAGGGTTGGTAACGCATCTGCATTTTGATTCTTAATTGAGGACAGATGTAGATGTCTCTGGGCCATAGCATCCAATTACCAACAGGTTGACTGTGTGCTCGTTTGCCACCGTTATTCTATAAAAAAACACTACTACTACTATAGCCCACTACAAACCCAATGCTGAACATAGGTCTTCGTCATAGATAACCACAAAATACGGCCACAGCCTAAGAAAAACATACAGTCAGTTATCGCGTTTGATGTTGTTAGAAAAGCCGACATTAACAATAAAATGCTAGGGTTGCCAGAACCTGAAGTAATAAAAATGATTTATTTTATTTCACGTTTAAAAAATTAAATAACTTAATCAGAAAATTAGTGTTCAGAAATAATAAAAATAGGTTATAGCACCCACAGGTTATTACCGCACACGTAGGGTGAACCATTTTAATTTATTTGCGTGACAGCACAACCTTAGCGGACAGTGCCGCGCTCCACCTGCGTTGTGCACCACACTGCACCGATTGGCCCTGTATAGATGCCTTCGATGACTGACTGTTAATAGTAATACTGTGGTACGGCCCTGAGCCATCCGTATTGGGTTCCATCAGGTCACACTATCTAGTTGGGTTTTCCTAACGCGGCGCTTGGTAGTACAAAACTGCCAATTGAGAATTTTTCTTGCCAGTCGGTTGTCGGTTCTTAGAGCTGTATGGCTGGCCATTGCTACTTCAGCTTACTAATCCTCTGGACTATGTCAGTTACTCTTGTTACACTCCAGAATTCCTGGCATGATTTTTTTATATATAAGTCCGTCAAAAAGTAATAGAGCAGCGCTATAATTCTTCCTTCTCACAGAAATATGAACATGCCTTCCCAAAAATGAGAGTAGAGTATTTAGACCTGTATGTTAAATAATTGCGCAGGAATCGGAATTAAGAAAGTGAAAAATAAAATTCACAAATGGTAACGCTGGAACGTTCTGGTAATTCATTACTGGTATTTGCTATTACACAGAAATGTTATAACTTTTCGTCTAAGAGTTAGATTATATTATTAGTTTCCATAGTTATAGAATCGGAAATTCGTTTCAACAACTAGTTCATTTTTCAAGAATTTTTTGTTTATTTAAGTGGCTACTTCAGCCCATATTACTGAAAAAACTGAAATTAACTTTAGACTGAGAAGGCTCTGAGGCCTTCAGGTTACAGTAACGAATCTGATTTCGTTGCTGTAACTGAGGACAAAGATAACCGACCTTGTGATATGTGGTTATACTGGCTCATTAACCCTCGAACCAGAACACAACAGTAGGTAGGAATAGACAAAAGAAAACAATTTTTTACCGCCATAGAGTAATTTTACCGCTTTAATCGCGTTTAATTTATCTTTTTAATTTTCGACGTTTCTGTTCCTACCTAGGACGATTCGCGAGGGTATTGAAATTAGAAAACATTCTAATTTCAATAAAGAAAATAAATGGGTACCAATATATCCAAACCCAAGCACACCACTGCAAGCCTCAAGATATTGTAAGCTCATTCTGCCTAGATCGAAAAAAAAATTTAAAAACTGAAGGCAGCCGGGCTAACTATGAGATCAGGACGTCAAATACCTCAATTTCCCCCGTGAGCATGGGTAATGTAAAGCACCCGAATCGTCGGGAATTAAAAAGTTAAAAAAAAAATTAATTAAACGCGACAAAATCCGTAAAAAGATTTTCGTTTTATTTAATGCCAGTAGTATAGCCGTGGTAGCTCAGATTGTTAGTACTCGCTGTAAATTTCACAGTACGCTAGCAAACCGGGTTTGGTCCCCGCCGGCACCAATGAAATTGTTAATTGAAATTTTAAGTGCTGATTTACCACGTGCTCGGCGTTGAAGGAAAACATCGTGACGAAAACTGCATATTTGAGAAATATGAAAAAAAATTTTGAATACACGTGAAGTTCACCAAAACTCATTGGCGCAGGGCGGCGGACAACTCCTTGCCCTAAAATCCTCTCAGAAATGAGCGAGAGGCCTGTGCCCAGGAGTGGGACATATCTAACCTTAATGTGTAGCATTTGCTAAATATAAGAAATAATAATAAGAAAGTACGCAATAATTCAGTGACTGAATTCCTCCCTCTTCCTTCTATCATCTGACAATCAGATAGTAAATACGAATTGATCATGCGATCTTCGTGTTGAATTAAGAAGCGCACTTAAGGGGAAATATAACCTCAAATGGCTTAGCAAGATCCTCCGTTATGCCGAAAGTATTGCAGCATTAATTTTGAAACAAATATATGGTAAAGTTGAGGATTAATGTTAAGGTTTATGTTAGACGAAAACACGATTCCGTAAAATTTTCTCGATAGAAAAAAAAATCCAAAGTTACCTCCAAACTGAACAATAAACCGCTGTTATTCATAAAATACTTTAAATAAGATCATGAAACTTTGCATACTAACTGAACTAACCATAAAGCAGTGCTTATGTTATTTACTTTTTTTTAAATATCATTATTTTCACTGTAAAAAAGAAATTACCTAAACTATCGGCGCGTAAGCTTGGTTCCTGTCGCTCCGTTAGTATTGCTCCGGCTTTTGAAGGGAGAAGTTGTGTCGCTTACGATCAGAAAACACATTACGCAACAGGAAAACGTAAAATTAAAATGGGAAATCACCGTTATAAAAATAAGAAGCGACTGGGTTGGCGTTAAGAAACAGGCATAAATATGATGAACCTAATGAAATAAGTGTCTAACGACCTATCTACGAGTACTTAGAGTATTAGTGATTACAAACATGTCGGTACATAGCATACGACGCGCGGGGAAGTGGGGGCGAAATTAGAATTTGAGCTGACTTACTCTCACCTCTTAACTGACGTGCGGAGAAACCAACATTTATTAACCGGCTGAGTCGACTGGCTTCCCTGGAGGCTGCTGACCTCGAAGTTGAAGTCAGTTAGCCTCCACCCCGTGTCGTCGAGGTACCACTCATTCGTACCAAATGACCTGTGGGGCCGCAGATGTGTGCGAAAGCGTGGCCCTGTCATTATGCGGTATACATTATGTGGAACACTATAGGATTTAGTCAGTACGAGTCCGAAATAACCCAACCGGTTCTTACCCGCCCCCATGAGGCGGGTACGTGTACGCATTTTACCATGTAAAAAATCTGTGCGATTAGATAGGTGTCAATCATTGACTTATAAAAGAAGACTACAGATACGTTGTCACTTTGGTAGACTACGCTGGAATGCATCCCAGCTTTTAATTATACTGATGTACTGACTCTAATATACTGCTTCTCTATACATAAAAATATAAAAAAACAGTCGTTTGAATACTGATTCTGATAACGCATACAACAGAAACCATCAAGTTATTGTAACATTTATATAATATTTAAAATGGCGAAAAAATAAGTCAAAATGAGACCCGAAATGTGGATAGTCACAGTACTTATTCGTATATTCAGAACTCATAAATGAACTATATTATTACACAACCAACGATTCGTATATTCAGAACTCATAAATGAACCATATTATTACACAACCAACGAGTTGGTTTATTTGTGAATCAAACTTGTCGCAGTAGTTTATTATATTGTCGTATACTTTATTATATTAATAACGTATAACAACGTATAATAACGTATAACAAGACTGCTTCGTCGGTCTAGTGGTTGTAGTAGTGCGACTGCTGATCATGGGTCCTGGTTCAAATCCCGGGTCGGGCCAAAAATCCATTATTGAGTTTTCTGTCAAGAAATTCTCAGTAGCTGCCCGGAGTCAGGAAGTTGGCGGTGTCTCACCCCCGTGCCTCGGAAAGCACGTAAAGCCGTTGGTCCTGCGCCTGATCTCTCTCCGGTCGTTTACCGTCCCATTGGGTTATGAGAGTGAGGGAATAGAGACTGCACTTGTGCTTTGCGCATATGCTTGGGCACTATAATCCTGTTCTGCGCTGATGGCTAGCCTCCGTTGATGCATGTCGCCGTAGCCGAAATTCGGTCTGGAGGACATTATTATTATTATAACTTATAACAAAATTCATGAACTAAAAATAGAATTAAAAAAAATAAACAGAAAAAAGTTCGCTCTACCATTGTTCCCCTATTGCCCCCAGTCTTCAGAAATTAGTGGAAAATTGAGACAAATGGTGGAAACTTAATGATAACAGTACACCAGCGTGATCTGTCAATACGGGGGCGCAACCAATATGCTATTGATAGAGCGCAATTTATCTTCCGAGATGTCTTAACGCCTAAATTGTCTTTGTAAATGTTAAGAATGACGCTCTGCTGGATTACATATGTTTAATATCACAAGCAAATTACTTCTGCTTAATTATGTTTTCCTGGTAATATCAATAAATGTTCCATAATAGTATAAATTGGATTACTCTTTATTTTTTGATTACCTAAGTAAAAATAGGATGAACTCGCTTAATTTTTGATTTTATATTATTCAAGGACTATTTTGGTTTTTTAATTAACATTTTAAATAATTTATTACTTTGCAACCTTCCTTTAATAAATTATTTATTATAATGGATTTCCGCAAAGTA